GACAGAGCATCACTTGCCCCAGAGTCCCTATCTATACCTTGTGGCTAATAGCCACTGATGGACCTCTGCTCCATATGCTTATCTAATTCCCTTTTGAAGCTGTCCATGCTTGTAGCCACCACCACCTCCTGTGTCAGTGAATTCCATGTGTTCATCACTTGGCCCAGCCTGAGAGTTCCTATCTATACCTTGTGGCAAATAGCCACTGATGGACTTCCTATGTAGAGCTACACCAGTCAAATGCTGTTGAAATCAGCCCCGCCTAGCACTGCACTCTACACGGGACTGCAAAGCAATAGGCTTGCATAGGATTGCACTGTCAATCACTTGTGATGCAGAGGTTTAATTGTCCCCACAGGAGGCGACTGAGTGCTGCATCACATGCTCCAAAAGTAAACCACTGGGACTGCAAGAGTGAAAGGTGACTCCCGTTTTGGTTCAGAAAAGAAACACAGAGCTACAGCTGTCGGGAGCTTAGGAATCACTGCCCTAAACTAAGGCTGTAAGGGCACCTCCTCATTACAGCGGGTTTCTTAAATAATGCATTTTATTATATTATAAATTGTACTAATGCATACTGCGAACTGTTTTTCCTTGTACGAGAGCTTGCCACAAACACCTATGCAGCATAAGCAACATGATACATAACAAACATTATCCCAAATGCAGCTCGCCCAGCTACCGAAAAGCTAATAAAAGATGGCTTGAGTAATTTGTGCAATATTTCCTATCCCAGTAATTAAGGAACAATGATCAATTTAAACAGCCGTTTGTCTTTCAGAAAGCCCTTGGAGGAAGAAAGGAAATGAAATGAGGTTTAACCTCTGTTTCCAGCCTTATGTAAACACTTGGTTAGTCTGGGACTTCAACAGCGTTGCCAATAGTTGGTGACCAGAATATTAGCCGCTGTCAATAGAAATGGACAGTTACAATTTGGTGTCTCGACAGTACTTCAAAACAAAAACAACCCACCTCCCTGCAGAAATCTACGCTCAACCATTTCCAGCACATTCAATATGAGGGAAGGATTTAAAGACGTACAGATGAAGCTATGGCCTCTTTAATGGGAGCTCTTCTGTCTAGGTTTTTAGGCTAGGGGCAGGGGGAGGAGGCGTGGTTGGGTGGTAGAGCATCTACTTGGCTTGTACGAGGTCCAGGGTTCAATCCCTGGCACCTCCAGCTAAAACGATCAGGTCATAAGTGATGGGATCAAGGTGTCTTCCCTGCCAGGTAAGTATGAAAATGGTACCAGAAAATCTGGGAACAATTTTTGATGGCTAGAATTATACATAATCTGGTTTTTGGGGACTTTACATACGGTAGTCCCTTTATTTGAATATGACAAAATATGGGAACCAGTCTTAGAATTTCTATGTGCTAAGGATGCAATTCCTATGATGCAAAACAGGTTAGATAGTTGGTCATTGTGATTTTCGGTTCTGTAACAGATCGTCGGTCCCGGTCACATGGAGCATTAGCCAAGCTAGAGACGGAAGATAGGTGGATTTTCTGGGCGCGATCTCACTGCCACATCTGGGAAGCGTAGAGCTCCCGTGGCTTCCAACCGAAGATGCGCGGCAAAAAACTAGTACCTCGGAGGTACTAGTTTCCGGAAACCGCGGGGCAAGGGTGGGCGTCTGATCGCGTTTCCGGTGGCATCCGGCGCCAGGCCCCATTGCGAAAAGGTTTCCCCCCCCCCCGAAGTATCCAGAGATGCGCACAAGCACCCAACGGGGCATGCGCATACTTCAGGTTAAAAAAAGCAAAACACAACCCCTTTTGCCGTGCCGTTTCTTTGGCGCGTCGTGTGATCGGCACCTCCCCCCTAACCACGGGACCTTGACGGGACCACGAGGGGATGCCTCATCGCGCAGTCATGTGTTATTTCACTGTGGGGCAAACAGCCACGCCTCCCCCCGCGATATCCGGCCCGTGTGACCGGGGCCGTCATTAATTTTTTTGAATGCTTTTAAAATGTTTTAGAAGTTAACATTACTCTCTTTTAGGGGCCAGGCCAAAACCTTTCCCTTTAACTAAGTTTTTAACCTAAGGGTTTTAAAAATCTTTTTAGCTCTCTTTAGTTCTTGCTTCTAGCCTGAGGACTGTTTTATGGATATTTTTCAGCAGCTCAGTGGTTGTTTAATGCTGTTTCTATTATCGTGGGTTGTATTTTTAACATTGTTAACTGATGTTATTTAAATAAATTTATATATATATATTTAAAAAGGGTCATAAGTGATGTGGAAAGATGTCTCTGCCTGAGACCCGGGGGATAGGGTTGGCAGCCTTCGGGTGGCACCTGGAGATCTCCCGCTATCACAGTTGATCGCCATGTGACCAAGATCAGCTCCCCTGGAGAAAATGGCTGCGTTGGAGGGTGGCTTATTCTATGGCATGACTCCCTGTTGAGGTCCCTCCCCTTCCCAAACTCCTCCCTCCCCAGGCTCCACCCCCCAAATCTCCAGATATTTCCCAACCCAGATCTGGCAGCCCTACCTGGGTAGCTGCTGCTGGGCAGAGCACTGAACTTGATAAACCCAACAGTCTGTCTCAGTATAAGGCACCTTCCTGTACTCCTGACCAGTGTGCCCTGTAAGGCGAGTTAGTGTGAGCTGGCTCACAGGTTTTTTTTTAGCCTCCAGCTCACAGATTTTTGTCTTCGCTCAGGAAGGACGGCTCCAGAGCAAAGTAATTTATGCAGTAGCCAAATCGCTCGCAACTTTAATGCCAGTAGCTCACAAAGGAGAATTTTTGCTCACAAGACCCCACAGCTTGGAGGGAGCACTGCTCCCGAGTGCCCCTTTTCACTGATGATGTCCCTCATGCCCTCTGCAGGTCTAGACAGTCTTTTGGAAGTGGTTTCTAATACTGCATGAGGAGCAGCAATAATGTCTGGGAAGAACAGTTCTGGATGAGTGCATGAATGGAGAGACGGAGCTCTTTCGAGAATCTCCCATGAGAATTTCAGAATATTCAGACTCCATCATTCCCAATGATGATCAAGAAAAGTCATATGGCGCTTGAGTAGCTGTCATCTGGGAAGCTGCCGCTTCAGGTCTCTTCTCAGAATCAAACTCATTAGGCAGCATCAGGCAAGCCACTCTCCCTTCGCCTCAAGTTCCTTGTTGCAATATGATGATATTCCCAGCCAGCCTACTTTATAAGGCCGTTGTGATGATTACTGTGATGACGCATGTGTAGCACTTCAAGCATCAAAAGAATACTATAAATGTTAAATGTTATTGTTATGCATGATATGTCAACACAGACTAGTCCCCCCCTGGCCATCAGTAGAGGATGGAGGTAGCGTTGCCAGATCCAGGTTGGGAACCCCCTGGAGATTTGGGGAGGGAACCTGGGGAGGACTTCATAGGGATACAATGCCACAGAGTCCACCAGCCAAAGCATCCATTTTCTTCAGGGGCAATGATCTCTGCAGCCTGGAGATGAGCTGTAATTCCGAGGGATCCCAAGGTCTCACCTGGAGGCCGGCATCCATAGCACAAACAGACCAATATAACGTCATAAAACCTTCAAAACCATTATAGTAATGGATGTTTAGAAACTGTTGTAACTTAGAGTTGGCTGGGGGAAATTCTTGGAGATTTGAGAGCAAAGCCTGGGGAGGATGAAGTGTGTGTGTGTGGGTGGGGGAGGAAGCTCAGCAAAGATGTGACGCCACAGAGTCCAGTCCATCCTCTGAAGCTGGCAACCTCCAGGGCAGTCTGGAAATCTCCTGGAGTTAAAACTGACATCCAGACTACAGAGATGAATTCCCCTGGCAAAAACAGCTACTTTGGAGGGTGGAGTCCATAGCATTACACCTCACTGAGTTTCCTCCCTTCCTCAAACCCTGCCATCTTCAGGCTCTGCTCCCCAGATCTACAGGAATTTCCCAACCTGGAGTTGGCAAACCGGAAGGGGGAGGCGGGATAGTACAGAAGTCTTGGGATGGTTCCAAAAAAGCTCATGGGAAGGGCAGTATATAAGCCTAATAAATAATTTTTAAAAGCCCAACTTGTTACTAAGCCATCTGCATGGGGGAGTTGACAAACACTTGTTTTAGGCTGAACCCCCTTCCCCCTTTTTGCTCCTTCTAGCTCATTGATCTCAATTAGATCTAAACACAAGGAAACTGGGGGCAAAGTTGCAGAGCTGAAGGTTAACCTCAGTACTTTGAAGTTAATCAGGCAACCAAGTGTAGATCTTTGTGTATTCAGTTATAAATATGTGCTTCAAGCCTTTTCTTAGAAGATTGAATCAACATTTTTGTTTATTTTTTTTACCTGTGCGAGTGATTCAGGGCAAGCTCCGGCTTTTTCATCTTCAAGTAGCAGATTACAAGCTTTGTTTCGATAAAACTGGCAATACTTGAAATATCTTTTGGAGAGGCTTCAAAGGGCCTCCCTATAGCTGCACCCTTGCTGCAGAGCTGGCAAGAAAAAGAAACAAGACACCCTTTACTAGTCTGAAAAGGTGCAAAGCTTTTGCTACAAGGAAACACACCTTTTGCAGATGAGAGACAGACATGTAAAGCTTTTTAAATTATAAGAACCCATAACATTTGTACACTTCAGAAATTCAACGCAGTTCACAGATATGTTGCAACTAGGGTTGCCAGTCTCCAAGAGGGGCTTGAAGTGGAGTTGGCAACCAATTTCGCTGGGGAACATGGTTGCTTTGGAGTGTGGCCTGTATGGCATTTAGGGATGCCAGGTTCCAGGTGGGACCCAGGGATCCCACAGAATGACAGCTCATCTCCAGACTACCAAGATCAGTTCTCCTGGAGAAAATGGATGCTTTGGAAGGTGGATTCAGGGGTCATTTCCTGCTGGAGCGCCCCGGAGTGGCGTTCCGGCAGTAAGGAGTCCAGGCCCCGTCCCCCCACCTGTGGAGAGACTCAGGGACAGGGGGGATTTAAATGCCTAGGTTCCCTGCCCGATCTTCTCCAGGTGCCCCACAATATGTAACAGCCCCACCCACAGAGCTGATCACACGCTTGATCTGATCTTCGCGGTGGGGGTTACAGTGGACCGGATTACTGCTAAGGCAGTTCCATGGTCAGACCACCATGCCCTGAAGGCCTGTGGGAATGTGGCACCCCGACCGTTTGGGTGGCAAGCATATTTTGGCTTGCCCGCAGAGCCAAATGGACCCTCAGCGGCTTCAGATGGCTCTATGGGATCCTATGCCCCCTGGCGGCTCGTTAGATGAGCTAGTCGAGGACTGGCATGGCTGACTCTCGACTGTCATCGACGAGATCACCCCCCCAAACCCTCTGCACCCTCGCTCTAAGCGGGCTCCTTGGTTTACTGAGGAGCTGCAGCTGATGAAATGAGGGCTCAGACAACTAGAGAGACGGTTGTGGCGCGCTCGCAACGAAGGAACAAGAGCATCCTATAGGACGTTTATGAGATCCTATGAGATGGCAGTCAAAGCCATGAAGAGAGAGTTCTACACGACCACAGTTGCGTCTGCTAGCTCACGCCTGGCACAATTGTTTAGAACTATTCAGCCGCCCTGAGCCCATTGGGGAGGGCAGGATATAAATGTGAAAAATAAATAAATTAATTAATTAACAGAGCTGCCCCAGGGCAGGCCAAATGCTAGGGAATTGGACATTGGCTGTGAGGCTTTTGTGAGCTATTTTGCAGGTAGTCCTGCTGCTCCGCCACGATCTCCCCGCCACAGTTGAGACAGTGAGCAAACTTGAGGCCCCATGCATGTCTTCTAGTTCCATTCTGGATTATTTCAGTCCACTCAGCCTTGAGGAGGTTGACAGATTGCTCTCAACGGTATGTCCAACCACATGCAGCCTTGATCCGTGCCCTTCATGGCTTATAAAAGCTGGCCATGAGGGACTGTGAGGTGCCCTCATGGATATTATCAACAAGTCTGTTAGATCGCGCTAACAAAGGACTCGTAGAGTGATTCAGCAAGTGATTCAGCTTTATTAGAAGTAACGAACAAGCACTAACTCAGTAAGAAACCAGAACAGAAAACAGTGGGAGCTTATGCTCTATTTAAACATAACCGGGCTAATGTAGCCACGCCTATTTACAAATAACAACCAATGAGATTGCTAGAATAAAGACCAATGGGAGTCTTTCCCTCCTAGGGAATGGTATCGTCCTGATTGGTCGCTGTTACGAAGCGACCAATAGGAAGTTCGCTCAGAGGAGCCCTGGTCTGGCTCGAAGCTTAACAGGGGAGTCCTATGAGGTGATTCATGTAATCATTTCAATACATTACAATTCCTCCCCCCTAAGTTAAGCCATCATCCCAATTGTTTTATTATTT